TCTTCAGCCTACCTGCACAGCTCAAAGGAATCACATTCCCTACAACAAACATTTCAACTGGCACCACAGTTAAAGGACAATAAACGAAGTCATCCACAACATCATCTCCAACATCAGACTTCAGTAAGATAATCAATCAAAAGCAAAAGTACGGCTGGGGATTCTTCTCATGTTATCCTAAATTTGGGGTTTCCCCTTTTCATTTTTAATCAGGCCTGAGCTAATGCATGCAAAGAAGAAGAAAGAGTCTGACTAGTAGAAGATCCCATATTGACCCAGCAGACTCTGTCCTCCATTCTCTAATTAAAGTTCTTAGCAACAGCCTATGCAGATGACTGGAAAAGTCAGCAGCTCAAGGATTTCTCAGCACAGGAAGCTGCAGTAGTCTTTCCATCCAGGCTTACAGCTTTGAAATTAGAGAGCTGCATTTTTTTCCTTTTTAACACAGGAGCAGGAAGGTCTAGGTGCTTGGAAGCACATATCCCAGCAATGACAAGATGAATAAACAAATCAAAGCCTCCATCAATTGTTTCCAAAGAGGAAAAAAAAGAAAACATTATTCATCCTTAGGAAAAAGAACAGGTCCCTGAGTCTGCTACAGCTTTCTCTCTTTTTTAAAGATTGTATCATGAGAATTTGGAAATACATTCATAAATACCTCCTTGGAACACTTAAATTGAAAGTTTAATATCATTACATAATTATTCAAAGATTAACTATTAGGTATAAGTAACTCAATAAGTTACAGACACACCCACTTGAGCAACAATATCAGTGATATTTATTTAAAATACTTTTGCTGAGGAAATTTGTTTCATAAGAGATGGTTTTCAAACAAATCAGCAAGGTTATGAAAAAATAAAACAGAGATAGACTCTCTGGGGGGAAAAAAAAAAAATGTTACAAAGAAAGCTTTTGCATATCAACAAAAACCCTCAGTCTTTTGATTTGCAGTCTGAGTCTCAGTCCCAACCTTTTCTGTCTAATGAACCCCACTATCCATCTTTAGATCTGGTTTGTTCTTGTCATTCTTCACCGAGTAGATGAAATATGTTAAGGTGTCCTTTTCATTCACTGGAATTGTCCTAAAATGGCAGCCAATTATCTACAAAGGAAGAACACAATGAAATTAAGTAACCACTCTTCTATGCAGAAACTGAACATTCAGATTTAAATTGACAACATTAAAGTTTAAAAGCCTGATCAAAAAGTTTAAGAGAAACTAAAACGTACCTCTCTTCACAAGTCTTTAACGATCATAAAAAAGGTAGAACCATTTTATTGAGAACTATGAACCAAATATAGCAGATGGTACCCACCATTTCCAAAGTTAAAAGCCTAGAAAAATTTTCTTTTTTTTTTGGGGGGGGGAGGGGGTCGTGGAGGGGGAGGTGCTAAAAACAAATCTGAATTATCCTTACACCTATGTGGTCAAAGCCCGACTACAAAGCAAGTAATGTCTACAGAATACCAATACCCACAGAGCAACAGCACAGAAATGAGAAGCTGCTGCTCATTGCTCTGGTTGGGGGGGAAGTGTATCTGTACCCAGTCACATACAAAAACATCTAAGACAATACAAGTCTTGCAGAATTATAACTGAACATCAAGCTCATCAAAAGAGAGCTATTGATAATGAAATTCCACCATGCTGTAGCCACTAAAATATCACAGTCTTTAAACAGTTTTCAAGCCACTTTTGTCATTCCAGAGGTCTTCCCTTTCATCAAAATTAACACCAACTTTAGAAGAAAGCACTCAAAATATTACACTTGCTCAAGATTATTCCCTGGCTTTTTACAGGAAAAAGCTTAAATTTCATCTGCTTTGGTAGATTAAAGTTAGCAAGAGGAAGTGAGAAAAATGGGACTCCTCATTTAACTATTGCAGGGTGTAAGTATAAATGTTTAACACATATTAGCTTTCCAAACATCACCCTCAAAAAATTCAGAGCAACAGTCTGACAGAGTCCTTTAAAGTGGCCTTCCAAGTAACAGCCAGAGGAGTGCCCACTGTGCATCAGAACAGGTTACACGGGATCACGTGCACTGTGAGCTAAGCAAGTTCTGCAGCTATGGCTCAAAGATCTGCAGGTCAAACAAACCCCATGACAGGAGCTGGTGACAAAACCTTTGCCTACTCACCCTGAGCACCTCAAGAAGCATAAGATAGCACAGATCTCTCATGAGATGTACCTAAATCAAGCCCTTAGAAATGCTTGTTTTGCAGAACAAAATCTGCTTGTGCTTTTCCAAATCACAGTCCTGCTAACTTAAGAGCTAGCTCTGCCTCAGCTCACATAGAACAAAACAAAACCAGAAGACTCATTTTAAATTCTTACTCATAGTGGCAGCAGCACTATTCTTTTACAGCTCAGCCTTGAGATCTCCCACACATTTAAGAACCTTACCTTTAATCCACACAGATTAAGGGGGAGACCAAGAGAATGTCTGCACCAAAGAACGGAGTGGATCACATCACAAAGTGGAAAAAATGGGATCTCCCTGCTAAGGGGAGATCATCAGTTCTCCCACCTATTTCCATCAGTATACTCTAACTGCAATGCAGAAGATGTTCACAGCAACTAGCTTTTGAAGGCAAACTCTGAAGTTTGCTACAACTCTGCTGCTACCTCTGTTTCTAGTTCTAGAAGGGACTTGAGGTGAAGGTGGGACTAATGTGCAGACTATAACTCTATGAGCAATGCCATGATACTCAAGGACATGCAGATCACCTCCCTATTCCAACTCAATACTATTTTTAAGTAGCACACAGCCCTTTCAGAAGCTAAAGAGTCCCCTCCTGCGGAAAGAACATTTACTTTTGATTTACTTGGCTCAGGAGCTGTGGCCAAGGAAGGAAGCTAGATAAGCAAATCCCTTTTGTTCTCCTAAGATCCAGGTTACACACTATGCAAGGACCACATTGTACAGAAAATGACATGCCAGAGCATGCTGCATTTTCTATTATGGAACAAACACTCATACATACTTCAACGAGCTGTGCTTTGTTAAGTCCTGGTCTGGTCTGTAGCTTGAAGTGCCTTTTGTACCTTCGAAGTGTGTTTACTTGTAACTGATATAAGTCCACCTAGAATAAAAAGTGGGGGAAAAGGGAGGAAAAACAATCTAATGTAAATGAAAACGATTCAGTCATGGATGTCTGCCTCTCAAAACTATTCTGGAATCTCACAGATATGTAAGTGCAAACATTAAGCCCAGCAGATTTAATTTTGACAAAAACCAAACTCCCCCCTCCACCTTCCAGCAGAAAGGATCACAGTCCAGTTTGGTTCAAGAGCATTTTATTGCTACCAAGCACAGCTCTGCCTCCCTTTAGCTGTGGACAATACTCAGAACTCATTATCATCCTTTAATCAGTTCTGGGTTTCTGTTTATTCCCTAGTTCCAGCAGGATAACACAAAAGCCCAGGAACGACCTCCACCTAACATCTCTGAAGATGCCCATTCAAAGGAGGCCCCTGTACTGCAATTTCAGCCATCAAATTTCACACAAGTTATATGTAAGGTAATGCATCTGTACCATGAGATTGCACGTAGCAGAATCAGGAAAAAGTGTACAGCACAGGTTTTTTTGCCTTGAGGTGAGAGAAGAAAACAGCTGCTCTTGCTCTCCAAACCTATCCCTGCTACACAAGCACAATGCAAGAGTTCTGTCCATGGGCTGCACGTAGTAGAATCAGGAAAAAGTGTATAGCACAGTTTTTTTTGCCTTGAGGTAAGAAAAGAGCTGCTCTTGCTCTCCAAACCTATCCCTGCTACACAAGCACAATGCAAGAGTTCTGTCCATGGGCACAGCTATCCAAAACAATTTTTCAGTGCGAGTTGACAGCTGAGAGAATTGCACAAGGTCCTTGCAGGGATATAAATACACAACCTTAACCCAGTACTCCCTCCGTTTTTAATCCCAGGGACTCTGATCAACGGCCACTTCTCCCAGCAACAGCTTACCCTCCCACCCTCATGGACAACATGAGAGCTTAAGAGAACTTCTGCTAGAACAGTTGCAATTACAGCAGTATTCTCCAAACTCACTCATTAAAGATTGGTTAAGGCTTTTGCTTCCACTTAATTCTTTTATCAGCTTCAACGATAGAATATTTAAACAGCAGCAGTGCTACTGCATATTTGGTAACCTGGCCAAACTTGATATAATGCTGCCTTGCACAGTAGAATGTATTCTACTTCAGTATTCTGAAGTTTACGGGGCACCAGTTCCACATCCTAAGTCACAGTGGTGACCCCACATCCTAAAGCATCACGCAGAAGAGGAAGAGCAGCTTTTTACCATGTCCCTGAGCCTACCATGCTCCTCCCCTCCCACAGAAATAATTTCTAAGAGGTAGCAATGGTCATAACCAAGATGGAAACAGGAGGGCCCTGCAAGTATTCAGGAGGATGACATTTTCTTCCCCCCTTAGTAAACTGGATAGCAACTGAAAATAATGAAGGCCAAGAGCCAATGGACATCTAAGGCACAGAGTATTTGCATGAGATGAACACACTGACGTTGTCCAAAGGGCCAACTAAAACCCCTGAAAAAGAATTCCTAGTTTTCTTTCCTGGAATAATACCATTTACAAAAACCCTTGCTTTCTTGTTCTAGAGATATCCATCAGTTGTGGCACATTTTATAATTCTTGCATGAGGAAACAAAGCAGGTTTGCAGATGAGCTGGAATTACCACTGTGCCAGAGAGCTACCTGAAGCCACAGAGAACACCAGTTTTATACATTACTTTCAAAGAAGTGATCCCACATATTTAACAGACAAACAATGCAAGCCAGCATCAACATTCCCAGTCACTAAAATCCTCTTAGAGGATCCTCTTAGCCTTCAGACTGGAGCCATGTGCCTTTAGGCAGGGATTCTTGCACAAAGTTTCATCACCTGTATTGCTGGTATCTGCAAGTGCTGACCATAACGATGACAGTTAATTAACGTTTACACAGCAGTTTCTGATGGATACTTTAAAAATTTGTCTTGGAAAGGACCAGGTAGGCAATGACAGCCTCTACTCAAAACTAACACGCTGGACAGCATCTGCTAAGCCAGGCTGCAGCAGAGAACATGTAGAGAAAACAGAGTGCAGTCTCTCCTACCATACTTTGCAAAAGGCTCAAAAGCCACAGTTCACTTTTATAATGGAGGAGGTTTCACTTGCCTGCACTGAAGAAAAACAGGCAAGACAAACACTACTCTTCTTCACTCCTTTCTAGCACAGCTCCCTGAACATCTCTTCCTTCAACCATGAGTAAAAACACAGAGCTAGTATCATTAAACCTTCTGTGTTTAATGTGACTAAGGCAATAGAGCAACTGTAAGAGCCATCTGCAACACGTTTAGAACAGAAGGAAAGGACTGGAAGGACAGGGCAGTGAGGCATTTATATCCCAAGTTCTACGTGCAATTCCTTTCCAGCTGTCAGTTCCTGCAGAAGGCAGATTCTGCTGATACACAGCACAGCAGCTCTTCTAGCAGGATGCTGGAGAGGAAGCACCAACAAGGAAACAGTTGAAAAAAAACCCAGTTTTCTAAGAGAACTAACAGACACTTAAAAAATAACCTAGAGTACTGCTTACTACTGCACTACTAATACAGAAAATACATCATAAAATTCAGTTAAATCTTGTATGTTAAGAATTTAGTTAATCGGGAGTCTTCCCCTTCCTCACACACCCCAAAACAAGCAAATAACCTACAGTACTGCTTATTCTGCTCTGCATCATAAATACATCATAAAATTCAGTTAGATCTTGTATGTTAAGAATTTAGTTAATCGGGAGTCTTCCCCTTCCTCACACACCCCAAAACAAGCAAAGCTGCAAGGACAGAAAAGCAGTATCTGTGCAGACTTGGTAGTTAAGAACAAGCTTAACACAACGACAGGAAGAAAAAAAAAACCAAAACAACTACTTCGTTACCTCTGGAGTGTCGATGTCTTGTACTGGTGAGTCACCATCGTCATCACTGCCTTTCCTCTTTCTTCTATTCCTCACACTCTGAATTAAGTTTTTATGGAAGTCACAAATATACAGATGTCTTGCCTGGAAGAAGAGCACAGCGTTTTTCAAACAAATCCTCGTTAAGTACCTTGCGGACTTATGATAAAAAAGCACGTACACAGACAACCCTCCAGCAGCCACCGTTCACGTTAAGCAGGCTGAGCAAGCTTTTCTGCCGGATTCTTTTAAAAAAAAGAACGTGCTGCGCCACAGCTCGTTGCCAGTAGCCCGGCTGGGGGGACGCCAAGTGCTGCTGCAGTCGCCCGAGTGAGTAGTAGCGGGCTGCAGAGACAGGCGAGTGCAGCCCGCACCGCACCCCGCCACACGGGGACCGGGCGGCGCGCCCGCAAACCACCGCTCAGCTCTTCAAAGAGCGACAACCCGGGGCTCCCTTCCCACCTACACCCCCCTCCCGCTGCCATGACCTAGAGTCGGTCACGCTGCACACTTCCCTTCCCCCCCCCCTCCTTTTTTAAGTTTCCCTTTGTACGGATCGGCACGTTTTGGGATAACTCTTCGGCACGTACCTAAGCCCGACTTCGGAAGCGACGCGCA